ACAAGCAATGGAGCCGAAGGCAAGCTAATCACGCAGTAGCAACGAACCTGGAAGACCGGATGTTGCGAGGAGGGACTATCGACCAGTCATTAACGGTTGGAGTTACTGATCTATGATTGGCTATTCTTCAAAACCAGCAACGCACTCAACACATGATATATGATGATATGAGTATTCAGCCAATCATCGGATGAATTAGTTGGTTCAGTTTTGCATACTGGTTCTCCTACTCTGTTTCTGTAAAATCCGTAGTTTTTTCCATACTTTTTGTAGCTCGTAGTTTATCATGAATTTCCGTAGAATCTATGGAGAATACATAGTAGTTGGAGTCTATGCATCAATATGCAAATCTACAATTTCTTTGAAATCATCTACTTGATACATAGAAAACTCAATTTCCACTTGATTAAGATACTTTTCATCAATAATGGATGGGAAAGTATTCATCAAGTAAAGAGCAGGTGAAAATGAAATTTCAGTTCTCAAGCTGATGTCAGCAACTTAAGCAGATTTTAGAAATGGATCACTTAGTGGAAATTTATCTATTATATATGAACATGCAGTTAAAAAAAAAAAAAACTTGCACAGAATTCAATGCTTATCCAATGAGGCAATGAAGCTAAGTCAATAGCAAGAACATCTTTCTACAAAGCATCCAAATGACAAGGACAAGCTCATTGAAAATTTTCAGGAAATAGTATATAAATAATTTCAAAATCGTACACCTATCTTCATTTAAGAAACAACATACAATGAATGAAGATGGATTAATTGCCACTTATTACATTTCACAATTAATTACAAAAAGTGGTAAAAGCTATAAATATTGGAGAAACTGTAATTATGCTCTCTATTAAAGACTTTATCTCAACAGTAATTTTAAATTTTCATTTTAAAAATGTTGCCCGTAAGCGCCAACACAATAAAGCCACAAACTGATGAAATAGCAGTTACACAAATTGTAATAATTCGAATAATAAATTTGTAATAATGTTGTGTCAATATTGTAGTTTTGATGTAGTTATTGTTATTGTAATGAGGTTAATTCCTATTTTGTCTTTATATATATATATATATATATATATATATATATATATATATATTTTGGGGGGGCAAGCTCCAATCTTGTGCATCAAAGATGCACGGGGGGCAATGTTTGTATAATCAAGGGCCTTTGCAATTAAAAAAATTAATAATTTACAGATCAAATATGAGCAGAATCATTTAAATTCTCACAACATATGAAATATGTACTACATTTAACCCTCCTGGCATTACGGGTATAGCCATGATATTTCAAAGCTGCTCAGAATGTCATGAATAAATGGAATTTATTATAATTAAAAAAACCCTCACAATTTGTACCTTGATTTCTTTTCTTTCAATATACATCCAACCTGAAATTGGATACATTAAAAGTTGGCAGAAATTTTCATGTGTAATGAATATAAAAGCCACCCATATGGAATTTCCCATCCATAACACTGAGAGGGTTAAAAGAGGTAAACTATATGTTGAATCTTATCTGCATCCATCATATGCAGAATCATTTAAATTCTGTTGTGAATGTCTGAAACATGCAATACATTTGAAAACAGGCAGTTCATAAGAATTATTTCCATCTAGCAAGATTATATGCATACAAATTAAATAATGTGATACTGTTTAGTGATTACATTCACTGTATTAAATGCCCTTTTAAATTCTCTCTCAAACTGAATACAGCATGTTGTGCTATCACTCGCAATTTCTAATTATAAATAAATTCAAATGAATATCTACCTAGATTACAACACTGAAGGTGCATTTTAATAATTGCTTTATTCCTTCCATAAACCAGCTTTTGGAAGAAAGTAACAGATTACTTATTAGGGCAATAACTTCTCAATTAAAAAAGTAACAAATCAATTTTCAAAAACTCTGCACTCAACAGCATTAACCCTTTCCGGCATGCTACCTTTTAAAGCTGGAATTTCGATAAAAAAAAAAAAGGTAGGCACTCTAATTAGGCACAGAGGAGTACACAAGTAAAATTTTGTGAAGATGGCACTTATCGTTTTAATTCTGCGGGTGTGCCCTAAGTGGGCACACTGATTGAAAAGAGCGCTGAAACAAGCATTGCTGGGAAGCACGTAAAAGAGTAAGAGATCTTGCCTACAATTAAAAAACACTAGATTCTGAATACCGTAGCAGATTTAGCATTACCTAGGGTGTGCCATGGGGCAACCTACTATTGGGTCGACCCTTTATAATCATATGGTACAGTGGGACTGGGAGGATTGGGTCTTCCCTGTATTATGACCCCCTAAAAAGCTCTTTTTTTGGTTATATGATGATTAAATGCGTATGAATTTAAAAAAAAAATAAATAAAATAATTTGGCTATATGATATTTACATTTCACATTTACACTTTAATCTATTTTTTTTCATAGTGGTACTTTTCGAAGAAAGTGACACCACCTTTAAAAAAGCACAACCCATTATTGTATGATTTGCACATATACCATATCAGATTCACTTTCTGAAGGTATGACATGAAGGTATCACATGGTATACGATCTATAACATGTGATCCATATCAGATTCACTATCTGAAGCAATTCGTCATCCCTCTCCGATCTGTTTGGAAAATAATTAAAAATCCAAAAAAATAAACTAATATTATATCTACAATTAAAAATTATAAACTGTAAAATAAAATTAAATAAACGTCTACAACTCAAAACTACTAGACGTAGCACTAGCGACTCTTTGAACGAAAGTGAAAGAGAAAAAGAGAACTGCTCTAGTCAAAAACCAAACAGCTAACTGATAAAATTACCCTCGACCTTCAGAAAATCACCCCAACAATTTTAGTTAATAACCAAATGCCCCCTTCCCCCCAAAAAAGACAGAGAGAGAAAAGAAGAAAGAGAACAACAGGAAATGAAACACGGATGTGGACCCACCTTTCTGTCGTCAATGAACTGACCGATGAAATGCGGAGAAACAAAAATTACAGTCTGTCAATTGTTCTAGTGTCTTGGTGTGCCAGCTCTAGGCACACCTTGGATTCGCCGTTCGATTTTAGGTAAGATTTCAAGGTAAAAATTTAAAACTAATGTAGAATAAGGAGATTAGCATACAGCCAAAAAATAACATAGAAATTTCTTTTCAAACAATTCCTTTTAGATCCTAAAAAAATCTGGAAGATTTCTTCGAAAAATGAGGGTTTTAAAAAACTAAACATGGCTAAAATATATGGACTGGTTTGTGTTGAGCTGCCATCTATTATAAATAAAGAAGGTTCAGAGTAACCTATAGTAAACTCTAAATACTATCTCATTCAATTTTTCTGTGCATACAGAAGGAAATTTTTAGGTGTGCTCAGACCAGGCACGCTGTGCCGCAAAGCATTAATGCACTACTATTAAAAGGTAGCAAATCCTGACAGAATATTTGCTTTTGGTGACTAAATATTTATTTCTTTTTTCCTTTATTAATGCCTTTCAGACATTAACTGCTAAGTTAAAGAAATTCAGCAGTTAATTTTTACCTTTCTTTCTGAGTGTACAAAATCGAGAATTTTTTCTCTCACAAATCATTTCAGAACATGATTTTTGCGAAAATACAGCAATGCAGAGAAAATTGAAAATGCTTTTGCTTATTTAGAAACACACTTTTTTAATCAAATGCTAAACTCACTTAAATCAGAAATTGAAAATATTCGAACTAATGAATTTGGCAGTGCACTGCTATTTTGGCAATTTTACAAAATTTTAAAATTCTACCAAATTTTTTCCAAAAGTTTGGCCACTGATGATAAAAAATTCTATACTTGATAAATTTTGGATTAATTACAAAAATTAGGTAATTATTTATTATTAAGAACTTCTAGAAAAGTAGATTCTTGCCCCCCCCTTTTTGGGAGAGAATTGAGAGTTTATGGACAATAAAATTCTCTGACTTTTCCAGGTTTTCCAGGTGTGTTTTAAGAAAATTCCAGTCTATCAGCGCAATGCACGTTGACTGTGCTAAAAGTTAAATTAATTATGGTATTACTTAAAAACACAAAAATCTGTCAATTACATATGACTTATATATTTACATATTATTATATATTACTTATTACATATGACAACTCCTGTTATAGCAGTAATATATATATATATATTAATCCCCAAAGGATTACTACTATAACAGGAGTTGTTTTCTCCACTGAGGATTGAGATTACAATCTACCTAATCTGGATTAAAAAATGTCTTTTTAGCAGACATTTTGCAGCTAAACGAAAGAAATCTATTAATGATATTTTTAAACAAATTCAGGTATTTTATATTTATTTAGCAGCATACATAATCAAAATATATGTGTATTAAATTTTATGATGGTATGTTATCATATTCCTAGAATTAGTTTCAGAATTATGCCAGAAAATCAACAATATTTTGTCAAATATAGTTATATTAAATGGTTAGCCTAGGTGACTGATTAGTATTTTTTTTTTTTATTTTAATGCAAAATGACAAATAAGAGGTATTTATTAAAAAGAAAAAAAAAAAGGTTTAAAGGATTCTGCAGAAAAATCCTAGTATATGCTACTGCCCTGGCATAATTTTGTTCTGTACAAGAATACATATTTTCTTTAGTTCAACATGCACTACACATACAAGCTCTCGATTCTCGAGGTTATTGGAAACCAAACTTGCTTTGCCTTTCTAAAAGACAATCTAATTGTAGCTGAGAAAACTGGCTCTATGATGCTCACGTGGTACATAATTCCCCAAGAAAGTCATTGCTTCCAACGTCAACGGAAAACTCACTTTGGGGGGAGAATTGCCATATGAAATTCGATGACTTTTCCAGACTTTGACTAAAATACTTAAATTCCCTGACTTTTCGCTGAATATTTTGCTCAATTTTCAAATGCTCTCTCCGGTTCTTCCGGTTTTCCAGGTAATGTGGCAACTCTGTTTAAAGTAAAAGTTACAAAAAAAAAAAAAAAAAAAAAAGGCTTACTTCCAAAGCGATCCTGCTTTTCCAATTCAGAAGCACCTTTCACAAATACCTTGGTAAGCAAACAAGGATACGAAATGCAGGGCCACATACTCTGAGATGGTACATCATGAACTAATTCCCTGTAAGTAAGACAAAAATATTGTTTTTTAAAGCAGAACTCTCTCATTTAACAACTTCAATTCTGAATTATGAATAAAGAACATACAGTAACAGTTTGATACAGTAAACATTAAAGTAACAGTAAAATAAAGCAATAAACTATACATTAATATTATATAATGCAGAGATATGTTATCGAAGATACATACTATACATCTAAGCCTACATCACATTTTGTACACCTATGTGGATATAAATTTTATTGCAGCATAATGCTACCCCTTTAAAGAAAAATTAGGTTTACTGAAAAAAAAATTAATTTTGATATACATTAATATAGTACAAAGTCCGAGATCTGGACGTCCAATATCCGGAATGATCAAAATTCCAGACCTTGAAGCCACCAACAAAAATTTTTTAATTTTTTCTAATGCTTTACACAGGTTCATTAGATTTTTTTCCCCGTAAGAAAACATGTGGGGAATCCCGATTCTTAATTTCACTTCAGTACTAAATAAAATACCTCATTATTGAAGAAACAATCATTTGGCTCCGTAACTGCATACCTGCTTGGTAAACATCTCATTCTGAAACATTCTACATAGAAACAGCGTTGATTTTACATTTTATATCCTTGACGCCAACCTGGGGCATCATTATTTATTATACTTTGCTTTCATTACCATATGTTTATCAACACATGACAACTTGAGTACTGACTCATGCAAGGATGCTTAAACATTTATCTTTTTTATATTTGAATAACAAAGAGTATGAAAACTTTCTATGTTGACATTACGCTTGCCGGTGGTTACAGATTTAAGTTAAATGCGCTGTTGACGAGGGAAAATTTAACAAAAATTTGAGTATGCTAAAAATAGATTTTGTTAATGACTCATAGGCCAAAAGATTACATTTAGTGCCATTTGAATTAAGAATAACTGATTTTTATTCACATAAACCCAGAACCAGTGCCAGAGCTTGTATGGCCATACCAGGCAGCAGAATTTAGGAAAGACAAAATTTCTGGAATCTGGAGAAACGCCGAGTAACAAAATTAACGGATGATAAAATATTTAGAATTTAGGGAAAACACTGAAATGCAAAATTAAGGGGCAGCAAAAGTTTAGGCAGATGCTCGGCAGCAGAATTTAGGACCTTCAGACACTGTATCAGATGATGGCCCTCAGTAAGCTGAAATATACGTGGGAATTTATTTCTTCAGGACTCAGATAAGCCTTAAGCATGTGCAAGGATTAGATGCAAGTATAAAAAATAACTAAATTAATACAATTCAGGCTTAATTGTCTCAGTGCATGATAGAAGCAAGACAAAATTTAACGGACCATTTTCATTGCCAATCTCGTGTTACATAGCCAGTAATACAGTCAAAAGTCGTTAATCCGGACTCGTCGGGACTTCGGCGATTCCGGATTATCGATTTTTCCACATTATAGATCATCAGTTTAAATCTGGTAAAATGGCATGCAGAAATTATAAAATTAAAAATATGAAACCATAATTTACGAAATAAAGAACAATTATGATCTAAAGGGTATCAAAATTTACAAAAAAAAAAAAAAAAGCTTAATATTTATTTGTTTACTTTATTAAACATTTCTTTCAATGTAAGTTGTTTAAGTTGCTTTGCTTTTTATGTGATAATACATTCTCTTTAATTCTATAAACAGACATAATTTCTTGTTCAGTTACAAAGTTCCGCTGTTCAAGTCTGTGTCGAGAATACCGACTAATTTGTCAATCGAAATTTTTTCGTTTTCAATAACCTCTGTCACTTTCTTCGCTATCGGAAGCGAATTATAATGACGAGGCATTTGATTTAAATCATATCAAAGACGGAGTACATCGAGATGAAATACTACATTGAGTAAGCAATTATAAGCCAAATAAAATAAAAACATCTGCCCTTAAGATAAGGATAGTGCTGACAGATAACTTCCAATTCATTGCACGCCGCCGCCGCATTAAAGATAAACAAAGTTTTGATAAACAAACATTAAAGTTTAGATAAACAAAGGATATGCCTTTATCCATTTTTTGCAGCAATTCCACTTTTTGTTTAATGGACTCCGAAAGATACTTTCGCTTTGTATATCCTTTACATATTAGTAAATATATATCGGAAATTCTATTTGACATAATCGAAAGTTCAAGCTTAGTTTTATAAAATTGCTCTAACAGTCTGCAAAAAAATATAATAATCTGGATCCAATTCGAAGATTAAGGAACAACGCAATCTGCAACATTAACTAAAATAGATAATTAGATAATTTTAGCTTAGCTTATCCCGTCCGTTATACATTAAACGCGCATTCGTAAACATATTTTTGCACACGCGCACATGCAAATTCGCAGCGGTAAAGGTCTTACGCATGCGCAGAAAGTTTGTAGCTTTGAGGTCCGGATTATAGATCATTCCGGATTATGAGTGTCCGAATTAACGACTTTTGACTGTACTTTGCTGATTCCAAAAATTTTCAGTTAATATAGCAGATTGCACTGTTCCTTAACTTTCTGATTTCATCCAGCTTATTATTTTATGCAGGCTGTTATAATTACAGCAATTTTATGAAAAATCAAGTTTGAACTTTTGGCTATATCAAAAAGTGTTTCTAATTCTGGAACTGCAACAGGATCTACAAAGCGAAACCATTTTTCAATGTCCATTAAACAAAAAGATGGAATTGCTGCAAAAAATGGATACATGCATATCTGTCTCAAAATTATGTGAGGTGTATGGCATTGGAAAGTCAACTGTGTATGTTATAACAGAAAAAGGAGCCTCATGAACTTTTTGGGGAGTCCGACACCCCACTCGCAATGAATAAGAAAAAAATTATTCGCTATGCTAAAAGTGACGATCATGACAAAATGATGATTCAATGGTCAGACAGAAGCGACCAGCAAAGTGAAGGGGCTTTGCAGTGTCTCAATGCTAATGGCTCAAGCCAAACTATTTCATGAAGAAATGCACTTAAGAACTGACTGCACATATTTGACAGCTTGGTTAACCAAATCTTAAAATTGCCATGGTATAATGCAATTAAAATTTCAGGTGAAAATGCTTCAGCTGATACTAAAGCTAACTAAAGCTTCAGCTGATTGGTTGATACTAAAGATGCTGAACTATTTGTAGGTGAAGTCATTGAACTCATTAACAGTGAAATATTATCTCCAGGACAAATTTACAACACTGATGAAACTGGTCTTTTCTGGCAATATGTACCTTGAAATAGTTTTGCAACCTCTACAGAAAAGGCTCCAACTGGTATCAAAGATTACAAAGCTACACTAACAATTTTAGCATGTGCAAATGCTGGTGGAACGCATAAGTGTAAACTTTTCGTAGTCGCAAAAAATACGACTTCGACCATTTAAAGGAGTAAAGTTTTCCAGTTATATATCATGCAAATCAAACAGCAAAGATGACACAAGTGTTAATATTTGATTGGTTTGAAAATCAATTCATACCCAAGGCTAGGCAAAATTTGATATCACTAGTTTACCTGATGAGGCAAAAATTGCCTGATTGTAGATAACGGTTTGGCTCATATTTCACTTTAATGAAAGATAATGCATCCATGTTATTATTTCCACCAAACTGTATGTCCATTATTCAGCCTATGGATATCGGAATAGTGCATGTGCTGAAATGAAAATATAAAAGAAGCATTTTTAAAAATCCATGTTAAATTTCTTAAATAATGGCAAGACTAGTCAAGAATTTTTGAAATATTTTAGCATAAAATCTGCTATGTGGAAAATCACAAGATAGAGGAAGGATGTGCCTCCAGATACTTTAAAAAATGCTTGGCATAATTTATAGCAAGCTACCATATCTCATGGTGAGGATGATGAAGATGAGAGCAGCAAATTTGCAGGCTTTCAAATATCACAAACCACAGATGAAATTTTCCAATTAATGGATTTTGCAAAGAAATGCGGAGAAGCAGTAATAAGTGAAGATGATATAACAGAAGTTTTTCGTTGGGATGACAATGTTCCAATCATCAATCAGTTAACGGAAGGCAAAATCTGTAGTATGTTTCTAGATCCAGAAAATACCATTACCGATAGTGAAGAAAGTGACAAGAGGTTATTGAAAAGGAAAAATTTTTGAATGACAAGTTGGAGTTCTTGACGCAGCAACTACAGAACTTGAATAGCGGAACGTTGTAACTGAACAAGAAATTATGTCTGCCTACAGAATAAAGAGAAAGTATTAGCACAAAAAATTAAGCAACTTAAGCAATTTACATTCAAAGAAATGTTTAATAAAGTAATCAGATAAATATTAATTTTTTTGTAAATTTTGATACCCTTTAGATCATAGATGCTTCACTATTTCATAAATCGCGATTTTATATTTTTAATTTTATAATTTCTGCATATGCCATCTCAATAGATTTTAAATGAAGTTCTAATATCCGGAAAAATCTCAAATCCGGAATCGCCGAAGTCCCGACAAGTCCGGATATTGGACTTTGTATTGTACAAATATTATTCCAGTACACAGAAACGATAAAAATTCTTTCAATATACAAAAACTGTAGAAATTTTTACAACATAGAAAACATAAAAATTATTTTTTTTCTCTCCAGCTTCATACCATTTCTAAAGTAACCTTTTAAATTCACAGTAAATATTTAAATTTTATGATCACAAGAAATAAATTGAACATATGTATCACAATTTGTATATTTTAAAAAATAACTAAAAATTAAACAAAAAATAAATACTTCCTGAAACATGGCTAGAAAATTTTGAAGTGGTCACTTATAGCTTTAAAGATGAAAATTTACTGTTTCGGACTACAGCTTGTTTACTGAAACCTTTCTTCATTCTTACCATATGGAATTTTCTAATGATGCTAAATTTCTCAGGAGTTTAGTGCAATTCTTAGTCTCTAAGAAGAAACATACAGAGTAATGTACTGAGTTTAAATCAAGATAAGCTAAGACTAAGTAAGATAGCTATTCTTCTGTTAAAATGAAGTCTG